TGTTTACTAGCATGTTATTTAACCTCCATGTATTTGTGCTTTTTCCAGATTTTTTCTTGTGGTTGATGTCTAGTTTCATAGTGTTGTAATCCAAAAAGATACATGGTATGACTTCGATCTTTTTAAATTTGTTGAGACTTGTTTTGTGTCCTAATATGTGGTCTATTCTGGAGAATGTTCCAGGTGTAGTTGAAAAGAATGTGTAATCTGTTGTTTTAGGATGGAATGTTGTAAATGTATCTGTTAAATCCATCTGGTCCAGTGTGTCATCAAAGTCACTGTTTCCTTGTTGATTTTCTGTTCAGGTGATCTCTCCATTGATGTAAGTGGGGTGTTAGTATCCCCTACTTTATTGTATCACTGCCAATTATTTCCTTTATGTATGTTATTAACTGTTTTATACATTAGGATACTCCCATACTGATTGCGTGAATATTTATGATTCTAATAACTTCTTGTGGGATTGTCCCTTTTATTATTATATAGTGTCCTTCTATATCTATTGTTACATCTTTGTTTTATAGCCTATTTTATGTGATTTGAATATTTCTGCTGTTTCTTTTCACATCCATTTACATGATAAATGTTTCTCCATCCCCTCATTTTTAGTCTGTATGTGTCTTTAGGTAGGAGATTGGTTTCTTGTACACAGCATATAGATGTCTTGTTTTTTTTAATCCATTCCATTACCCTATGTCTTTTGATTGGAGTGTTTAGTCTATTTACATTCAAAGTAATTACTGATATGTACTTACTGTCATTTTGTTACTGGTTTTGTGGCTGTTTTTATAGTTCTTATCCTTTCTTCCCTTGTTCTCTTTCATGGTTTGTTAGCTTTTTTGAGTGATATAATTAGATTCCTTTCTGCTTGTTTTTTGTATGTCTATTACTGTTTTGTTTTGTTTTGTTTTTTTTACTTTTGGTTACCTTAGGCATTATATGTAACATTTTTTGCATACAGTGTATATTATGTTGATGGTCAATTAAGTTTGAGCTCATTCTTTACTCCTCTTTATTCTGTTTTCTACGTCTTTATTAAGGGTTTCATTGAGGTCCTACACTCTTTCCTCAAGTCCAGTGAGTATCTTTATGACCATTACTAAAGTAATATGCTTGATATCGAATCTTATCTCTATTTCATTTAGCTCTTTTACTTAAATTTTGTCCTATTATTTCATTTGGTATGTATTCCTCTGTATCCTCATTTTGTCTAACTCCCTGTGTCTGTTTCTGTGTATTAGGAAAGTCTCCTTCTCTTGAAAGTAAGGGCATTATGAAGATGTCCTGTAGTGCCCTGCATGCAGTATCCGCTGTTAAGCAGAATCTGGCTCTTCAGGGAGGTCTCCTGTTGTGTTGTGTACATCCTACTTATGTGGCTGCTCTACATTTGCCTTCAGTCCAGTTATCTGCAATAGCTCTATTTGCTTGTTGTGGGTCTCTTGTTGTTAGTGGGTCATTCTGGGGCTTCCTTGGGCTTGAATTGAATCAAACCAGCAGTTTCCCAGAGTTGCATTACCTCCAAACTACAGAATACTCTCCCTGTGTTGTCCCTGAGAAGCTTTTGTTGATGTTTGGGGCCTGCAATCAGACCAGATGTCTGCCCCCAATCCACTGCTGATGCCAGAGTTGAACTGGTATATGTGGTTTTTTTCCCCTCTCCCTGGGGTAGGAGTGTCTTTGAGATGGTGCTGACCACTGTCCATGCTGCTTGCACACTGCCACCAGGATTGTGCTGCTTTGGATGGACACTCGTCCAAGGCATGTTGGAAGGGGTAGTCCTACAAGAGACTGCAGTCACAGGGCACACTGTTAGCATGCCATCTGGAAATTGCTTGCGCTGTGGTGGTTCCTACAGGTGTTAGTGTTTCTAGGCTGGGGCTCAGGAGATGGAAATGGTGCCCATGAACTCTTTTGTTCTTGGAGAAATCTCCCAAAGATCCCTGTACCTCTAGCACATGCTCTGAGAATAGTAAACAAATCTCCCTCCTGTATACTCCACGCATTTTTCAAACTGATATTTCTATGGTGTATCTCATAGTGGCTGTTTGTTATGCTGTCTCTTTAAGGTCAGGGATTCATTTTCCTATTGACCTCCTGCTCTCCCAGAGTCAAGCCACTGATTTTTAAAGTTCTAGGTCATAAGCCCCGCTAATTGTAAGAACTCAAAAGTTTAAGTCCCTCTGGTCTTCAAAGTCAGATGTTATGGGGATTCTTCTTCCCATTGCAGGTCCTCTATATCTGGGGTTCCTGTGTGGGATCTGTTCCTCTCCCTTCTCCATGCTTGTGGTATCCTTCCCTCCTTTGTATAGTTTCATGAGTCCATTTGGCCCCCAGCTGCATCTCAGCCCTACCTACCCTCTGCGATGTGGCTTCTCTGAATTTAGCTGTGGAAAGTCTGTTCTGGCAGTCTCTGGGTTGTTTTCTGGATTATCTACACTGATGTAGGTGTTATCTGTGTGTATCAGAGGGATGTGGTGAGCTTGGGATTCTCCTATTCTGCCATCTTCCACTGAAGTCCAGAAAGCTCACTTTTTAAAACTTAGGCCATGCAGGAAACATATTCACTTATTTAAAAATCAGAAAATACAGTAAGACTGTAGTTCTCAAGCTTTAGCTTGTATCCCAGTTGTCTGGTAGTGCTGTGGAGACAGAATGCTGAACCCTACACCATAGTGTCTGATTAGGAAGCCCAAGGTCCAGCCTATAAATTTGCATTTCTAACAAGTTCCCAAGTGTTGCTGATTCTGTTAGTTGGGGAGCATACTTTGAGAACCACTGCCTTAAAAGCACTTAGAGATGACCTATAATGCCACCACTAAGGATAATGACATATTGATGTGCATCCTTTCAGACTTTGTGTCCTGTAGGAAAAAACACTGTGGTGTGTGGGGGGGGGGGGGGTGCGGTGTAGGGGTGGAGGGTGAGAGGAGAGGACCAATAACTATCTTGTCTTTAATAACCCAAAATGAGATTGTACTGTTCATCCAGTTTTATAATTGGCTCCTTTCATTTAATGTATTGTGTACATTTTTATTATGATTGTAGTTATATCATTATTTTTAATGGCTATGTAGAATTTCAATATTAGGATACATCATAATTTATATAAACTAATAACAGACATACCAGAATATATTTTTGCAAACTTTTCCTATCATTTACTTATAACCTGTGTGTCTCAAATAGTCTTCGGGTTACTGTGTAATTTACCCTTTACTGTAACTTCTGTAATGGAGGCTTGACTTTGAAAAATATGACTAAATATCTTTAATATTTTTTTATTGATTGACTTTTTGCTAAGGACAGAATTAAAGTTAGTAAATTGGTCAGTATTGGGTTTTATTCTGCAGCACTTAGATGGCAAACATACCAGTTTTCTTTGTAAAATAACTGTCTTCTTTGTAAGCATACCATTTTCATTTTGTTCTTCTGTGACCACAGCTGTACATTTCGTAAGTGGCAATGAGTAGTTTCTATTATAAATTGCTGTTTAACATGACACACTAAAATTTAGTAATATAAAACAGCCATTTTATTTTGCTCACAATTGTATGTATTAGGAAATTGGGAAGGACTCAGCTGGATGGTTTGTATCTGACTCATTTGGTATCCAGTGGAACAGCCAGTGCTGGATGATCCAATTCCAACAGAGCTGCAGTGTCCTTTGGCCTTTCTTTCTCTTTCCAAATGGCATTTCATGATCCAGGTGTCTCAGTGTGGCTTGGGCTTCTCATGGCATGGTGATCTCACAGAGTTACACTTGTGACATGATGGTTGGTTTCCAAGAGGTGAGAAAAAAAAGCTTCCAGGCCACTTGAGTCCTATGCCCAGAATTAATTAAAGCATTCACAGGTACCCACCCCAACCAGATTCAAGCAGATGAAGAAATAGACTCTACTTCTTGAAGGAGCAGAGGGGTGGAAAGATTACATTGCAGAAGAGCATTTGAATTGGGAGGTATTTTTGTGGTCATCTTTGAAAAATACAGTGTGCCACAAGTTGGTTGTTTATATAAATAAATAAGTAGAACTATTTATGTATATATGCATTGAATACATCAAAAAGTGCAAAATCTTAAAAATACCTAAATTTTAAATAATATTATGAAATATATGCCAAAAATTAATAACAGTTTCCTTTGTCAGCCATACACACCTGGTAGCTCCTTCTTAACCTAGTCTTATCTAAGGGAATGCCATTTTTTGACATTCTACTATTTGGATAAAATGTTACATTGAGTTCTTTAAAGAATAAAAGATAAATTAGACATGATTCTGCCTTGGAGGACTTTATAGTAATCTGGAGCAGATGGGGCATAATATATAATTATAAATAAAGTAATGAGAAACATGTAGATTTGGGAATGGAAGGGAGTAATTTTATTAAGGCTTATGGAAAATGTCACTGGATGTCAAGGGATGGGTAGAATGGGGATACATAGATGATGATGAATACTTAAAGGAACAGCAGGAGTAGAGACATAAATACAGAGTAACCAAACAATAATTATGGTCATTTCAGTTTCATTGTAGCTTAGAGCAGTAGTGCTCAGGCTTTGGTGGGCATTCAAATCACTTGGAGAACTTGTATGGAACTAGTATAGTGTACATGGTAAAAGAATCATGAGCAAAAAGAATAGAAAGATCGGTAGTGGGCATAATATTGTGATGGATCTTGAATACCAGGCTGCATATCTTTTATTTTAGTAGGAAGTGAGAACTATTAAAATGTGTTATTTAAGAGAATGACCTGATTGAAGCCAAGCTTTAGAAAAATAATCTGGTACCAGTGAGTATAGCAGTTTAGGCAAAACAAGGTTGGAATTAGGGAATTTGGCATAAAGGTTACTGAGTTCATCCAGGGAAGAAGAAATCTTAACCTGTCCCTTGATGATGGCAGTGTGAATGGAAATCAACATAGGTATTCAAACAAAGAAGAACCTGGCAACAAATTTGATAAGAAGATGGTGAAGCACAGACAGAACTCCAACTATGGGCTGAAGGTTGCAGTTAAAGCTGGGCACGAGGGAGACCCCCCAATTGAGAAGCCAGGGTAAGATCCTCATTTGGGACAATAGATGAAAAGCTGGATGTTGCATCTTTGTGTGATAAGGAGGATACCTGCCTGAGGATGTGTAGCAGACCACTGAGAACCAGATCTGGAGGTAAATGGTCAAGCTATAAATAGAGATTTGAGGGATTTTGGGCAGAGTGTGAGTTGAAGAAATGGCAGTGGATGAATTCACCAAGGGAAAGCATATAAAGAGAGGATTTAAAAAATCTGAGGGAATACCTACATTCAGGAAACAGATGGGCGATGATGAGTGAGCAGAACTTTACAGTTTCTTCGGAGCACTAAGAAGAGAAGTAAGGTTGGGGCGCCTGGGTGGCGCAGTCGGTTAAGCGTCCGACTTCAGCCAGGTCACGATCTCGCCGTCCGTGAGTTCGAGCCCCACGTCGGGCTCTGGGCTGATGGCTCAGAGCCTGGAACCTGTTTCCCATTCTGTGTCTCCCTCTCTCTCTGCCCCTCCCCCGTTCATGCTCTGTCTCTCTCTGTCCCAAAAAAATAAATAAACGTGGAAAAAAAAAGTTTAAAAAAAATAAAAAAAAAAGAAGAGAAGTAAGGTAGTCATTAGGGTGCCATTCTAGCAGAGGGTGGTCAGCAGGGTTGAATATTGCAGGGGAAGACGGAGACTGAAGACCTTCCCTGGAAATTTTAGTGATCTTTAAAAACACAATTCTGTTGAACAGTGAAAACAGATGCCATCAGGGTTTAAGGAATGAGTCAGTGGTCAGGAACTGGAACCATTTATAATGCTTTAGTTTGCTAAGAAGATTCATACTTCCAATGGACCTTTTAACTGGTATTGTGGAGCTGGGAGAAAGTCAAGAAAATAATGCTCATTTACCTAAAAGCAATTTCTTTGTGATCTGTCAGATATGTAATTTAAAACAACACAGAGTCCTCCATTCTTTTTGTTGTTGTTCATTACTGCAAATGCCTTTACCAGAGGCAGAGGTCTCTTAGGGATGTTACCTTAATCCAAAGGATTTCGTTTTTATTGAGCTCATCTTGGTACATAGAAAAACTCCTTCAAAGTTCAGCTCTGCATCAAAAATGAAACGTAACAACAGCCATGTTTTATTGCTGTTGGAGATAGAATTCCTAGGCAGAAAATTTATTAGGACAAGACTTCTTACAATCATTTCTATGCTTATAAATCAGTATCACAAGCTAACTGAACAGATTTTTTTCTCAAAGGCATTACTCCTAATTGGACACCATTAACAGTTAACAATGGGATATAATGTATCGTAGCTATTTTCAATACCTCATTTTCTTAACTCCTGTTATTAATGTATTACACCTCAGGCATCATCTGTACCTGACTTACTGTGGGGCTATCATAGCAGTTAATGTGCAGCAGGGCTCTGTGCTATATTAGTGCAGACTTTACACCCCTTAATTCTCATGGCAACCTTGCAGAGCTGATACTCTTGTTCCCATTTCGACAATGAGAAAAGACTGAAAGAAGTCAACTTACCAGAGATGATATAGCTATTACTTTTTCTGAGTCTAAATCCCTATATGGTTTTCTGACCCCAAAGCTTCTGCTCTCTACACGCTGCTTCCTGATGGCTCCCCACTCTTCTTCCTTGGACCATATGTACATCATGATATTCCAGGAACAGGGGCAGTGTGATGCTGAATTATCAGTGTTATTGATGATTAGAGACCATCTCTTGTGAGTCTCAGACTAAAGAATAAGTTTGGGTTGATCAGTCCCCCACCCCCACCCCCTTGAGTTAAAATTTCTTTGAAGTAATGAAGCAGTTGTCTTTTCAGGTTACAGAAGACACAGAAAAGCCAACAGGAAAAGAAAAACACTTAAAGGAAACGGAAAACTAATTGGAACCATAGTTTCCAATGTCAGTTAGTACTAGATATAGTGGGCTAAATATGGCCAGGAATTTTCATGAAGAGATTTCATCCAAGGGCAGTATCTACTTCTGGTGCTTTGTGCATACCTTATTCCTCTCCAGTTTGTTAGAGGAAATGACTGATGACAGTTTCCTAACAGTGGGAGGGTGGCACATGGCATGCATGAGGACAAGAGTGCCAAATCTGTTGAACATTCATCATTAGCCAAGCCTCTCTTCCTCTCCATAGGGCAATAAGTGTTCTACCCAGCAGTGTGACCATAAGGCCTAAGCCCTCCTCACTCTTCAGGTTGAGGTCCTGACAATTTAATATTATCCATGGATTTATAAAGCATCAGGAGTTTTAGTAGTAAATATCAGCTTACTGCACTATCAAAATTGTTTTATAAAAAAATTTTGCTAATTAGCATCAGCGTTCAATTATCTGAGTCAGTGGAGTCAAGTCATGTATAATCCATAGCAGTGGATAATCTCTAGATAATTTGTAACTTTGCACTGGAAAAAATTAATTTGTCTCTGTTAAATTTTCCTTAGGCTGTTGAAGTTGTCAACCTTTTCCCAGGCATAGATGCATAAATGTGAAGAAAAAAGATACAATTTAGAATTACTTAATTGAGCAAATATCAATTTGGAATATAGAAATTGTAATAGGTTTTGTCTGTATCTCTATAGGTTCTCTAGGCTCAGGAAGGAGAACTAAGAGCTGCAGTTTTAAAGGTGATTTACAACTATTTCCTCTCCTAAGCTTTGCTCTGTTCTCTCATGCCTAATAGCAATGCTCACCTTTTTACAGCTGAGCATAGGACTCTAACTGCACCGAAATCTCACAAGCTCTGGTCTAGGGGTACATGTGTTACTGCTCAAGGAAGTTTATTTTTACATATCAGCTGATAGCCTTCTAGCATTATCTTTGAATTGCTGCATTCCCTCAGGTGTCTGTCCTGAGCACTTTTACTTTCTAATTCTTCTCTAGGAGAGCACTTTAATTCCCACAAGTACAGCCTGATGATGATTCCTAGATCTCTATGTTCTGCTTCACACACTTGGCTGAACTCTCACAGAGACTTGTCAATTGCACGCAGGATGTGTCCCTGTGACATTCAATAGCAATCTCAGATTGAATAATACAAAAGTGAACTCATTGTTTCTCAAATCTGCTCCTTCTGCCATGATCCCTCTGCCATTAAAGGAATTACTATCTTTCCAGGCAGGGGAGAAAGCAGTCAGCTCCACGATCCCTTCTTTTCTCAGCCCCCATGTCCAATCAGTTGCCAAATCATATCCGATCTGAATCCACAGTGTGTCTCGTTTCACTTCTATAATCCGTATATATTAAGCTTATTTCTGTTTTCATGCCATGGATTTAGAACACGACACAGGGCCACTTCAAAAAGCTCATACCTAGTAAAAGAAACATAACAAAATAGATTATCAATGGACAGTATGATAATTATTAGTTGCCATTAACTAAGTACTGGTTGCCAAGGCTGGGAGGAAAAAGTGGAAGCCTTCCGCATCCTGGAGAAAGTGACATGAAAGTTAGATGAAGGAGATTGATGTAGGTAAAGAGCAGAAGAAAGCCTTTCAGAAAGTAGGAAAAAGTAGTATGTGCAAAGGTACAGAGATGTGAGAGAGGAAGGCCTTTTTAAAGAGGTGTTAAGAAAGATCCAGGTACACATTAAGTGCCAAGAGATAAAGCAGAGGTACATTTATGAAGGGCTGTGTCTACTGTGCTATGAAATTGCAATTTCATTCTCAAAGTAGCCTTTCTTTCCTCTTCCTCTTGACACGATCATATCTCTTGTCAGCCCTCTTGTAAAAAATCTCCTGACTGTTCTCTTGCTCTCTGCTCTTGCCTTTTCTTTTGTTAGATTGCAGTCAGAGGTGGCACCCCTGTTCGATTTTTGAACAGTCTCTTTCCTAATCCTTCACTGGCCTATATTTCCAGATTACACTCATCTTCTGCAACCTCCACTTCTGCCAGACACATCCCATGGATCAAGCTTGTGACAACTGCCTTTTCCTCTTAAGTTATAAACTCCTCAAGGCCAGAGTCTGTGGCTCACCCATCTTGGTAGATTTAAATTCCATGTCCTATGCTTTGTACACAGTAGGCTTTTATATATCTGTTGTATTGAGTAATAGGAATATACTTTAGAATCTTGCCACATTTCTTCATTTTTCAAGCTCTTTTATGCACAATGACATAACTGCATTGCTGTAATAAGCACCAGCTTTCTTGTCACTGTCAACAAGTGTTCCTTACAGCCCAGTGGCTCCTAACATGTCCTGCTGCTACGTATCAGCAACATTTCCTAGAGTGGCATGGATGTGTACAAACCTTAATGGGCAATGTTTGCTTTTCTCTGCAGAAAATGAAAGGTCTCACTTTTCCCTGGGGTAAAAGCAGTTTTAGGAAGCACTGATGCAGGGCCCCTTGCCAACCTTTACAATTTCCAGGACTCTACACCTCATTTCACTAACAGGTGTGTTGAAAAGGGCTTGGAACTAGGAGTCAGGGCTAGGATTTGCATCCCACCCTAACTAACTGGGTACCTGTAGGCAATATTTCTGAGCCTTGATTTCCTCACCTGTGGAATTAGGAATTAGACTTTAATTCCAAATATCCTTATCAACATTCCTTCACCAGTATTATCATGGTAGCTTACCAGTTATCTTAAATACAAAAATCACAAAGCCATCCTGACTTCCTTCTTTTCATCCTCATTTAAGCAGAAAAGATGTTATTGGAAGGATATTGAATAGTCCACTGAATGGATGGGATGAAAACTAGTTTTCAACATAAGCTGTCCCTATGTTTACACAGGAGCAGGGTGATGAGTTTGGCAGTTGCTGTCACTGGATACTTCCTGGCATTCATCCCTCTGCCAGTAACTCTGATGTTTCTGTGTCACTCCCTCCATCACTTCAGAGTTCCACATGAGGGCATCCAATTGGCTGAGCCCAGAATAGATCCTGTAGAAAAAAAAACACAATTGAGGACATAATATTTAGAAAAGATTATTTAAAAGGCATGCTATGTATCGAGGCTTCTAGATAATAGAAGTTCCTATCATTGGAATAAATTAGATCCTGAGATGACATACAAGATTGCATTGCCTTAGTCCCTTGCAGAATAACATTCACCCAGTTTCCTGTAAGGTGAATCCTGTAAGGTCCCTGGGGGAAGCTACTGCAGTGACACTGTCCATTATGATACTTAGAGTGTCCTGTCACAGACCTGATGTGAGAAAAGTTTGCAGAAATTTAATCAGAGAAAAACTTTCCTCTTGTCCTCTAAGAGCTGTGTGAGTTAGCTTGTTCTCCTCTTCACATTGACTCTCAGATAGCCAAGAACAAAGTGTGGGGCTTTCCACAGCAACTGCCTTCCCCCTAATAGCAGTCACTTTTATTTATCTTCTTTTATTCCTGGTTGTTTATTTTGTAAAGCTTCTCACATTCTCTTTGAAAGAGAGAATAAAAGAGAGGTAGGAAATGGGGAGAGATGGATACTAGCCACCCAGTGAACAGAGATAACCATGGTGGTAAAGTGGCTGTATCCACCATAGGAGCAGGCCTGGGAATGGGTATCTGTTTACCTTGTTGTTCCAAATCCTCTTACCCATGGCAAACTAGTCTATCCCTTTGGCTGCCTTCCCACTTGATACAAATATGGTTTAAGACAATGTCAACAACAATAAAGACTTCCACACCTCTTCCCTCATGTATTTATATGAACTGTTTTATCTCCTACATAAAACTAGCATGTGGGTGGGACATCAGCTACTAGAGAGTGCACAAGTAAACAAT